TCGCGACGGAAAAACGTTCGACTCGTTTCTTTCGATCCGTCTCGATAGTATTGTTTAATTTCTGTTCCAGATGTGGTCCACTTTTTTCCCCAGCGGCGTTCGCCGTTCCCCGATGCAATCGAGGCACGCGGTTATTGCACCTCGCTGCAGAAAAACACGTCGAAAACCGAGCTGTAGGTATTGCCGAAAGAACGCTTAGGATCGTAGACACGGGGACACGAATCTCGCGTGTTCTTCACGCACCAGATCCCCCGGAATGAGTCGGAAATATCTACAACACGTGAAACTCCGGTAATCATTGTATAGCCCTGGTCGCCTTTAATAACACGCAACGCTCGACAAATTTCTGTGTCCAAGCTTTTTGCGCGCATTACAGCATTGCCAGAAGTTATCCAATAATTGTCGATCCGTTGGCGGCGTTAGAAAAACGTCGATCGCGGGTATAACAAAATTATATTCGGACATTCTTCTAGGAATGCCCCGACAAAATGGCAGTTTAGTATTAGTCGGATTATTTTTTGACCAAGTTTCGCTTTGGAAAACAAAATGGAACCTAACCTTTAACGTAATTTACTTTTGTAAGTGAAAAATGCATTTTTCATTAGATTTTCCGACGCGAAACGTAAAAAAACAGATAGCTCGGCTAATATTATGATATTAAAGAATGAAACACTCACAAGAAGAATGTCCAGTGTGTTACGCCATTTTACCGGGCGCGAGGGCGGGAAAATACAATAGAATTGAAATTACCAATCATCTTGTAAATGTCTAAAGGGTTTGAACACTAGAATCACTACACCCGTTAAACCTGACAGTTTTCCTACTTTACAATTATTAACACCTTTAAACTGTTAAATATCCGAAATGATTTGAAAAATAAATAGCTCCCCTTGATTACTATAACGAACATATGAATAAATTAAAAATAATACGAATTATTACAATTTTTATGAGAATCCCCTATTAACCAGTTAGCTGTTTTGTCCTTTTTAAAAAGTATGTCCCGTAAAAGACTCGGAAAAGTAAGTTACCCGTCATTTGAACGAGTATACTCGTCATAACATAGATCCTTGCCATTCCTTCATAACGAGTATACTTGTCAAAGCGAGCCGACTGATTAATCATATTAAACGCTCGGTAGTTCTAGTTTCAAGCTTCGAATTACACCGTTATCCCGGCTTTATTAATTGTAATTCGCGTGTGACCGAGCACGGCCGCAGGATTAACCGAATCGCCATTGGAAAGCGACACGTATCGCGCAGAATCGACGCGGGAAAAGTGGTTAATGCTTGGCCGGTGGCTCTCTAATAAATTCAACGTGCTCGCACCGAATTGCCTTCCAATCTGCGCGGTGTATCACATTGCAACAGCGACCCGGTAATATGGTTTTGCATAACCAGTCCGCGTCGTTCGACGTCGGTCCGGCCGAGACGAATCCTTGGAAAATCTCCGGACACGTGATGGTGTCGTTAAGCGTTTCCTCGGCCGGGCCGGGGCGAATATTAACATACCCGCGATACTATTTCGCAACGCACTATCGAATCCCGTGATCGCGTGAACAGAATTAGAGAGGCTGGCTGGCTTTTCGTCTTGTACGCCGCGGCAAAATGGCGCTTTCCATTTTTTCCAGCTCTCGCGACTCCGCAAACAACGATAAAACATCGGACAAAAGGAATTAAGGCGAGCCGTTCGCGGCATCGTTGCACAAACTTGTTGTTTACGGGATCCCCCGAACGACAGGTGTAATCGTTACGAACGTCAGCCGCTGGATTGGACCTTTAAAGGCGTGGAAGATAATTTTGGCGCGAAGTGGGACATCTCGAATCGGTTTCGGAAACGTTATGTAACCTTCCCGCGTACTTAATCAATGATCTGTGACGTTGTCTTTGTGGGAATAATATTCTCGATGCATGTGAAACGACTTTATAGTAGCAACTGTAACACTGGGATTATTAGATAGGTTAAATTGGTCGATTCTGTGTGGTTTCTTTCACAATTATTTTACAGACACGGATGAGTTTTTGAAACATTGTTCAGCAAACCGATTTACTATTGGACTTTCTAAAATTAATCGATATTTCAATGAATATACCCTCGTGATTTGTATTATATAAGTGATAAAGATACTGTCGTTAAATAATACGTTATTAGTAGACCGTTTCGCCGCCCTCGTAAAAGTTTTATTATCATTGCATTTTAATCAGTGGAACAAATTATTATTATTCGAGTGCAGTAGTTTAATGAACGGGCCAATTTTATGCTGAATGAATATTCGGTGGAAAGAGGGATTCAGGTGACTCACGGGGGAAGTTTCTTCGAGTGTACGCCTGAACTGGCGACCAGAAATCGTCTTCCCGGCCAGACACGACGCTACTTGTTATTTATTGCGTAATGACCGAGCAATCTTGTACCGGACAGACGCGTCGGTTCAGCGGCAAAGGTTGCGACAGCCCGGGGCAAGGACGTGGACCAGTCTCGCCGACGGCTACACTCTTGTGAATGAACCCGACGGGTTTGCGGATTTACTCGCGCGTCCGTTCAACTTCTCGTCATCCTCCATGAACTTTTTTTTTTCAATCAAACACAAGGATATGAAATCTGAAAATTTCTATTATATTCTCAATATATTTCTCCATGGGAGAATAAAAATAATTACGTGCAAAATTTTCTCACTTTTTACTATACTTTAGCGGTCAGAGAAAGAAACAGTTGATCCAGTTATCGATCACGGCTAAATGTTAATAAATTCATCATGAATAAGTGATCATCAATCCGTCATGAAGAGGATAAAGAAGCATTATGGACAAGGAAGGCCTTGAATTATTAATAACCCTATTAGCAGCGAAATAACAATGTTCCCGCCAGAGTTTATGAGTACGGGAATATTAAAAAATATTTGTGACCTATATACGCCGCTATGCGTTTTCTAGCACCGCTAACAACCTGTTTTATTTACATTACAAATGATGCGTCATGATTCTATTCCGAAAGACTCTTGTGCTATCATTAGATCGCCAGAGGCGAGAAAAGATCCCGATTCACAGCATTAGCATACAAAACAAAAATGCGTAAACAGCGATAAGTAGGTGCCAAACTTGGTGAAATGGGAATTACAATTGCAAAATTGTACGAGATAAAAGAATTAATGAAATCATAGAAGAAAATGAATTTTCATTGCGTGACAGGGCGATCAGGGTTCGCAATTGTTTCCCATTATGCTTTGTTGGAGTCGTCACACCAGAATCTCAATTACGGGATTACATAGATGAGTGGGCAGATAGCGTGGTGGCGTTGATCGCGTTGTGTTTTCGCGAACCGAGACGATGCTCTAGAAACAAGAATGTAGAAAGTTGCTGCAGAAATCCACGGGCCCTGCATTTAGTACGGTTCTACGCGAAGAACAACGAGACCGATACACCGCTCTCGATTTTCTAACAGGTGATCTTATCGCCGCGGAGCGCTGCGCTCCGAACGAAATTAAAGTCAATGCTTCGGAACCGGGGGGGCAATTAGTGTACCGATCACTCAGAATCGGCTGACAATCGTAGAAAGTTTCTGCAGCGTGAAAGGTAGCTCCGTTTCCTCATCCACCCAAAGATAACGTTCTCCTTGTACAACTCGAGAAAATAAAGTCACAATGTATTTCGAACGGAAATTGCTTCCAGTTTTTTTGAAGATATAGATAAAAGTGTAACACGAAACTTTATAGATTATCCAATCTTTCGCAGCTGATGTTAGATGTAATATCTGAAGAACACTATCAAGAACAAAGATCCTCCTAATATAAAACTGAACAGGAGAACAGAAGCGTTGAAGATTCTCTTTAGATAACGCTTAATATAAAGAGGGCGGGAAGTGAACAAGATTCCGATTAGATATCGCGTAATATCAGGAAGAAAAGAATCAAGCAATTTAGATAACGCCCAACGCTAAGAAGAGGATTGATCGTATTTCTCAGCTTTAAGGGAGACAGGAATAGCTTACGTCAGATAATTCACAATTCCTGGTCACTCGATTAACGACCATAAAATACATCGATGAGAGACATGCATCCTCACTTGCAACAGATTCATCCTGTCGTCTCGGTTGTCAGTCCAGTGTCCAGCCTCTTCAACGGTCCCTAGCAGGACACCTCATGTCCCATGAGCGGAGAAAATGTGCCTCGAGACAGAATATCACCGGTCGCGTGCACCGATCGAAATCATATGCGATACGGAACCAACGGCGTTAGACTGCTGTTCGCTTGGAAGCTATCTAGTCCCGCGAAAGTCTCCCCCCACCGATTTCCCGCCCCCTCCAATTAAATCGCTGCACGAAGATCGACCGAGGAAAACTTCCCTTTCTCAGCTCACCGCGTCACCTCTTTCAAGTCGGATGTTTTCTCGCGCGGGAACCTCGCCTGCGACCCGGTGGCCCTCTTGCATAATAAAATGCGAACGTCTCAATTCAGTGATATTACGATTCGACTGTTATGTCATACGCGAATTTATGGGACTCGGAGATTTATACGTTGAAGAAAGTAATGGTACTTTTACGAGACGAAGAGGCACGTTTGCTTTAATCTGGTTTTCATGGAAAACAGTTTTAATGAGGATTGACAGTTCCGCTGAGATTCTGTTTCACTATGCAAAAGCTTTCTGAGATGTGACAATAGAATTGAATATTAATGGTAACTACCGAACCTAAATCAAATATAGGAATTCAAGTTTACTCACAAAGATCTACCATTCAACTCGAACACGTAGGAAATCTCAGTTCATCAGAATGAATAAGAACCACACTGCAGATCATTAATAACTCTCAAACTCACTAGAAGTGATCCCTTACAAACTTCAAGTCATCGTTTCCAACTAAACCCAACTGTCAATAGATCACAGTAATACAGAGACTCATCGATTCAAGATATCCTCGAAAAATTCCCCATCGATCTTTTCTATCTGCAGGGTGTATCAGCCACGAATTCACAGGTAGCAAAGAAACTCGCTTCCAACGGTACTTACGATCCTCATGTCGCGATCCTCTATAGATCCGTTCACGTGGCCGAGCGGCAGCGTTTCCCCGCGCAGCGGACACGAGCCGGGCACCGACTGCAGCCGCGTTTTGCGTCAACCGTTGGTGATTCCACGAGGTTCCGCTGTGGAAGGTGGTGGCTTGAGTCGCAGCTGCGGTTTCCTCTCTCGACGAGGGTACGTTCTGATAGCTGGGAAGGGAGGTAAAACGGTTGCGCCTCCTACTGCGCGGAAGGACGGTCAGGTGCAGGCTCTACTGGCCGGGCAGAACGCGAACGAAGCCGATAAAAGGTGGATCGTAGGTGTATGAGCTACGGTTGCCGTACAGGGACCGTTTGATGCCGGGTGGGGGCTGTTCCTGGGACTTATATGTCGCCGCTGGAGGCCACGCGACGTGCCTCTTTTTACCCACCTCCCGCCACCAGCCCCCGTGGGGCCTGTTGCTCCTCTAGACCTGGCCCTTGACGATGGTCAAGGTAACGCGTGTAAAGGTACCCGCCTCGCGGGGACAACACGCGACAGATCGACAGCTATTAGAGATCGCTTCGGGGAAATCCTATCGATATGCGCAAGGCTACTTTCATGCACACTTTGTACCTTCGCGATGACTGCTAAACTTCCTATCGGGATTGGAGATTTTGGAAGTTTAAAGAAGAGACGTGTTGGAAGGAGGTTTTTGGGCTTGATAGCAGTAAAGGAATGTGTGAAGGGATTAGTATTGTAGAAAAGTGGGAGTAGTATTGGTAATATGATGGTAGTTTTTGGGTGGAACCAATTGTAGGTGGAAAGCTGTAAAAGGGTGTTATTAATAATATCCGTTTTAGGTGGAAGATTAGGGAAGTTAAGATTTGTAGAGGGTTAGTATCGATTGAATATTCGGTGAATGTTGGGGAGTTGTAGAAAGTTAATGCTTATCGAATAATTTTTGCAATGATTAATGATAACCCTGTGTTGTCATACAATCTTCGATGGATATATGTGAATATAGGTAAATCGTTTCTTCTATTGAAACTAAAACAGCAGCATTGTAAAATATACTAGTTTATTTTCATTTCCATCTTTTAAATGTTCATCTTCATACCGGAAGAGACAGCAAGTCCTTCGGATCCGAATCGACAGGATAAATGCCGTTCATCGTCATCGTTCATTTGCAAGCCTACGCTCTCCGCGATCATCGAAATAACTAAATATTCATTGGGTATGATTCTAAACGCATCAGTAAACACGGAAGTATATTTATTTACGGCGATAGCTGTCCACGCGAGACAATAAAATCGTACCGGAGGAAAAATGTTGCAAGTAAATTCCCGTGAGTCAACGGTAAACACGTATTTGCCTCATCAATTCCACGCGTCAGGCCGCTCTGCGGTGCAGGGAAAAACTAAAGGAGATGAAGCGTCGGCCGTGATCGAGGAACGCGAAATCCTGGACGGCGGTCGCAATTACAAAATCAAATTAGCGCCTATTACCCACGCGATCCCTATTGAAACGACCGTTCACGGCGTGCCGGTGACGCTTCGGGACGATTATAGCTGTCGTGATCCCGATCGGAATCCGGATCCGTGAGAGCAATTAATGACGTCACGCGTTACGACAAGAATTCTGTTCGGATTTTGTCCTGTCGGATGCCATAGCCTTTTGAACCGAACGCGAGATCCACGCGAAAACGGCACCGTAATTTTCACCGCGGCGCGCGACGCTGCCATTTTGTCTGTCTAGGCGGAACGGTTTATCAGGACGAAGCTCCATTTTGGCGCTGTTTGCCGCGGGAAACGAGAAACATCGTTTCCGAGCATCTCTGTTATTGCTTCTTTTAGAAAAATGGGAATTGAACGGGTATTTGATGCTCGGGAACTTTATGTTTTACGTAATTGATTTACTGGTTCATCAATTAAGAATGAGTTATGGTATTTTGCCTTCAGGGTATGAAATCTTCAACGGCATTTTATTTTTTGTGAAGGTTCCTAATTTCTTGATTGATGTTATGTATAGGTGACATGTCGATTAAAGATTCTATGTATTCAAGAATAAAATAATTGTAATAATTTGAGGTATTCAAAAATGAATGCCGTAATAAATATTTTACTGTATGTTAGTCTATTTTTTATTTACTATTATACATATTATTCTACCGCATTTATTTATTACAAATATTATTTATCGTTTTAGATATTATTTTATCAGATTTTAAACTTCCTCAATTCTTTAATACAAATGATTCATCGCATGACAAGTCTTCGCTCCAACAGAAATACTATAACAAAAACCATGTTTTCACGGAACTCCTTGATCAAGTAATATTCGACGCATAATCTTTATCATATAGAGCAACAACTTTCAACTATTCGATAATCAGTTTAGCTGATATTCGAAAGGAACTTTCGCAATCCCGAACAGATTTGTGGAAGCAAATCGAGTCAATCCTTTAACAGAAAATTTAGTTTCGAAGAATTACGTACAATAAATTTCTAATTATTCTCTGTTATCTTCTTAACGTTGTGTCCTCAAATTTTTCTACTTCTCGCACTCACTAGAATTACTTTATTGTTAATAACTGTACTTTACAATCATCTTTGTCTCCAAGGTGATCGTTTCTCGCAGTTTCAGGGAGGTATCCGCGAAGAATCAACGATCTTCGCGCGGTTTCCGCGGATGCGGCATAAATCGGTGTCATCCGACGGCGATTATCGCGGCTCGTGCAGCTGAGAATCTTGTTGGACGGAAAGTAGCTACACAGAAAAAGCATCGAGTGATGTTTCAAATTTCTCGATCTCGTTCTCTCTCTGTCTGTCCCGAGATCGGCGTGGCAAGGACGAAAGCTGCATCTGCATGCGCAATTCGAGTCGGAAATGCGATCGGTCTGGTCAAGGGAATACAATGGACGCGGTTTTGGCGCGACGAGGACGGTGTTCTAGCGCAACGCGTGGTTTTCTTGTCCTCCAACCCTTCGTGGACCTTGAATTAATCGAGGGATAGAGTTTCGATTGGTCGCGGTTGAATACTCAACAAATAGAATTAAGAAAATCGTTATTTAATACATTAACCGTTGGATAAATATCAGCTGCTCAAATTCTGAGTGCTGGTAGTCGTGTTAGTATGTCGTTGAACATCTGTCGGAACCGAGGTTTTTACTCTATCTAGAAATAGAAAATCGTAAAATATAAAAATGTAGGGACAATGGAAAATATAGAAAAAATGGTTGCAGTAAATTTGAAAAATAGAATACAGTAAAACATAGAGAATAGAAAATATAACATAGAAAGATGGGAAAAGAGAAGAGATAGAAAACATGTAGTAGCGACTCTAAAAAATAGACCATAGAAAAATTGAAAAATACGAAGTAGTAAAACTAAACAATAAAAAATAATAAAATGTAAAAGACAGAGAAGATAAAGAAATAATAGTACATCATATAATATCTAATGAAATTCCACAGTGCTACAAAATAGATAAGCAACCGGCGATCTAAACATCTTGCAACAATGCAGGATCAACGTTCAGTGCGCTAAGTTCGGTTAATTCTTCTCTTACGAGAGAGAACTTTCAATTCAAGCGATGAGGTTTCATTCCGATGGGAAATGGACGTCGCGAGAAAGGGCTCGGCAACGGGGGACAACGTGCGGTTCGTCGCGTCGCTCTCCTGACCTTCGTCGGAAATGGAATCGTCGGCCTTAACCCGATAATTAGCCCGCTTTCAGCCGCGACACGGTACAAGGATACCACCGGTGCTTTCCAATACCATGGGCGAACGAGGAAGGTAGTCCTTGAACGATCGGCCAGCTTGGATCTCCTAAATTCGATCGATTTTGCGAGGCCAAATCGTTCTCTGGCTAGCGGACGTGCCACCGCGAGTTTCTCACATTTTTTTTTACCGATAACTTCGAATCTCGCCGATCAGTGGCTCTTTGATCCGTGAACAATCAGATGTAACGGTAGAAAAGACTTCTTCTTTCATTCGAGATGTTTTGTAAGAATTTCACGGACCGTTGATCGCTTAAAAAAGCTATCAAAAGACAATGCTGTTGAGTAACTTCATGCGCAATTAATCTTCATCTTCATTTTCTTTCGGTGACAAGTTGATATAATAGAAAAAGTGTTAGTGAAATAGTGTAGAATAGGAAAGTATTTATTTTCCACTTGTATATTTGTGTTAAAGATTATTCGCAGTGTACTTTGTGGGTAATAAAATAATATGTACGCTATATTAATGTTTTATATCTATTGTAACATGTCCATTCACTTAAGGAAAGAATAATTAAGTTCATTAATTATTACTTAGCTTGTAGGGTTAGTGGTATAGGGTGAAAGTTATTTATCAAGTATGTTCCTTGTATATATTAGAGTACAGTTCAATAAACTAGAGTACAGTGGTCCGGAATCTAGAGCAATCGAATCACGTGAGCAATTATCTCTGAAACCAGTTCTCTAGGTCCGTTTGCATACAACCTACCCCTGGATCGTAGCACTTTTGGCGTACACTCGACGCGATCTGAACGACAGTCGAATCGAAGTTGCATTTCGGTAAACGCGATTATTTATCAACCAGTCGCGTAATCGGGTAGCAACGTAAATCCGACGGTTTACGAGCATCCGGCCTTTAATCGAGTACTGTTACCGGCTGAATGTGCTTCAGCAAAATTGGTAATGCGCTCGTTGAGCCGAACATTATTAGAATGACGGATAAACATATACAGGCGACATTCGAAACAAAATGCAATTTTCCGTGAATCATAATGATAATCACATATTGATAATCATGTATCATAGGCTGTTTAAATGACACCCAATATAAAATAATTACTGAAACAAAATCTTGATCCATTCGAACATGCACTTTCTAAGCAAGAAAGATGCACAGCCAGTGGTCAGCCGAACGTCTTTATTATCATTGACGTTGCATGATCAGTCTAAAGTGAAAGTTTTTACTTTACATCTAAAATTTGGAATATAATAATAATAGTTCTTAAAGTATTATTGAAATAATGTTTCATAACTTATGTAGATAAAGTTAACACAAAGAATTAATTTAAACAAATCGAAACCACTGGTAGAAAGGTTGATTTCGTGTATACAGATCACAAGAGTCGCTGGTCCCGAATCGATCGAGTCATTTCGATTATGCTTTATTACGGGTAATAAGCCGCTAAATTGAAAGCTGAATGCACGTGAAATTATGTCGCGGAATGGACCGGCTTTAAATCAATGTCCGCGGTGATTTATCTCCAGCAGAGTTCATCATTTTTTCGCTAGTAGGAGGAACTTTTTCAGTGTTCCGTAATTATCCATCGTCCGAAAGTCTATCTCGCGTAAGAGACGTCGAAAGTGTTCGCGGAATGCAGGC